TATATATATATATATATATATATATACCCAGTTCAAAGATTTCTTTCTTTTTCTGAAATAGTTTTTTCCTTCACAGTGATTATGTGACGTGAAAAAGGTTTTCTTCATAAACAGGGCTTATTAATGTTCAGATAGTACATGTACATTATTTTGCAGTTTTCTGCTCCTATTGTTCAGATTTTACTCATGATGCATGAAATTGGTTCAGAAAACTTTAAATGAGTGAAACATGCATGCCTTCATCTTGTTGGTAATGTTCCAAACCTTTACAAGCTGCAACTTGAATATTTTCCGTGCAGGAAATCAAGATGTATTGTAGATTCAGGAAACCATGATGTACAGAGACCAAACAAAACATCCAAAGGTAAATATTACAGCAAGTGAAAATAAAATGAGTTCAATAAATGATTACAAGAGAGCAATATAACATGTTTAGACTTCAAGCAGTTGCAGCACTTTACTGCTAAAAAGAAGAAAACCTTTTGAAGAAGACTTCTAAATGAACTGTCAAACCCTTAAAATAGTTTTACAACTTTGACTTGTTTGATTTAATTCTTATTTCTCTTAAAAAGTATAAAAATATCAAACAGGTTTAGTTTTAGAAATGAAATACACTTATTATGAGTTTGATTTGGTTTGATTACTGTGAATCAATCATCAACAGCCGTTCTGTTAAATAGTATCTTGTGGTTTTATGATTATTGTGTGAAACAGTAGTAATTGGTGACATATTAAAATAACAGTAACAAAGAATATTCAATTTAGCTTTAAGAAACGTCTAAATCTCAAGACTACTGTAAATGTGCCAAAATCACTCTTCTTTATCCCCAGATTAAAACATACTGAAACAATGGGGTCAGGCTGTTAAAAGCATCTTTAATGTACTAAATTCACAAAGGTTCAACTTCACTGTACATGATACTGTGGGTCAGCATGCTCACATACATCGAGCCAACATGTTCAAGACTTGATTCAGCACAGACGCCATTCCAACAGTGCTTTAGTTCCTCCACAGTAATGTACTTATCCAGTCTGCCCAGTAAACAAAACAATCCGAAATAAAAAAAGGGTGTATTAATTTTGGAAAAACAAATTTTAATGACTTATCATGATGAATAACACAGTAATTCTCAAAAAATATTCAGTTTTTGGTCCTATTCCAATTCCAGTGCAGCACAGATGAGGCCAACACAGTGCAAGATAATAAACTATTACTTTTACATATGTACACACACACTGGTTTCCATCAGTGGTGACTCAGGTGTAGATATCTACAGAGCCTTTATTTCAGGCGCATATAATACATGATCATAAAACTGTAGTGCAAGCTAATTCCACATCACATATTGCAGGTCAAACATGCTTAATTCTCTTTTTTTTTTCTTCATAGTTTTAAAATTTATATTTCATTTTACTTCATTCACTAGTTTTAAAAGTCTTGAGTGAACACATCTGTGTAAATTAGTGTGCTAATTAATGCTAGTGAGCTCAGGTCGGTGCCTAAATGTACGGTAATCTTGATTTCCTTTTGGTTGCTGATCCTTTTTTCTTAACAATAGAAAGCACAAGAACCTCTTCGGTGAAGCTTTTCACCTAGCAGTCCTTAAAATCCCGTCGCATGATGCGGCTAAAAGAAGAAAATACATTTTCCAGTCTTTTTACAGTAATATGCATCAGTAAATTTCCTAAATGATTGTGCAGAGTTCAAGGTATTGGCAAAGAAGATGGTGCGCAACCTGTCGGAACGAAGAAGGAAAACAACTGAGTAGATATCCTGTTGATGATGAGAAGATCCAACTTTTTTTATATCACGTTTTCAAATAGCTGCATTGAATTCATGATGTTCTCGTCCTGGGGACAAAAATAAAATAAAACATTAGAAGAAACATTAGAGTTTTTATTATGCATGTATACCAAGAAGAAACAGTGTTATAATTGTTTTAATGCTTAGCTTTG